TTTTAATGTACTTAAAATGCTAGCATTTTAATGTACTTAAAATGCTATCATTTTAATGTACTTAAAATGCTATTATTTTGCACTTTGCAAACTATTTTATGAAGTGTATAGTGCAAATATTATCTCCATTTTGCACTGATTAACCTATGGTTATTTGAACCCTGGTCTTAGAGACTTCAAACCTAGTGCTCTTTTTACTCTACCCCATTGACTCTGATAATTGAGCAGGTGACCCATGAGGGCCATTGTTAAAGTTTCTGAAAACATGGGACACTGATGAGGCCTGGTTTTATTGTTTGACAGGTACAGTAACATCTTTCATGTCTTCATCCGGATGTCCCGTGAAGAAGGTCTAAAAACTTTGTACAGGGGCTTTATGCCAACAATCCTCGGAGTCATTCCTTATGCTGGGCTGAGCTTCTTCACCTATGAAACATTAAAGAAACTTCATCGTGGTAAGGAAGGCTTTGGGAAGATGGTACAGGAATGTTTCTTCTGAGGGCAAGAAGCGTGGTGAAAGAAAAGCACTAAACTCTTAATAGGGAGTGGATTTGTTTTGTTTTAAAAAAAAACAGAAGTATTCAGGGGCAGCGAGGTGGTGCAGTGGATAGAACCCCCTCCCTGAAGTCAGGAGGACCTGAGTTCAAACCCAGCTTCAGACCAAACACTTGATACTTACTAGCTGTGTGACCCTGGCCAAGTCACTTAACCCCAATTGCCTAAAAAAAAAAACAAAAAAAAACCAGAAGTATTCACCATTGATTTGATGCTCACTTGAAATAGTATGTTAGGAGTAAATTGAAATTTTGGGAGCTTTTTTCCAGACCTGGGATAACACTTTTTCCCCAAAGATACCTTTTTTTACATGCTTCTTGGTCCCCATGCGATATGATGTGTGGTTTCTAAAAATATTTTAATATTTTATTTTTTCCAATTATAAAATAATTTTTACATTCTTTTTTTAAATTTTGAGTTTCAAATTCCCTACTTCCTCCTTCCCCTCCCTCCCTTCCCCCCTCATTGAGAAGACAAGCAGTTTGATATAGGTTATATATGTGCAATCATACAAAACATATTTCCACATTGGTCATGTTGTGAAAGAAAACAGAGACCAAAAAACAAGAAAAATAAAGAAAATTTTAAAAATGATGCTTCACTCTGTATAGCATTTTTTCATCATGAGTCTTTTGGGATTGTCTTAGGTCATTGTATTGATCAAAATAGCTAAGTCATTCATATTTGATCACCATACAATATTGTTGTTACTGTGTACAGTGTTCTTCTGGTTCTGCTCATTCACTTAGCATCAGGTCATGTAAGTCTTTACAAGTTTTTCTGAAAGCATCCTGCTCATTGTTTCTTATAGCCCAATACTATTCCATCACAATCATATACCACAACTTGTTCAGCCATTCTCCAGTTGATGGGCATCACCTCAATTTCCAATTCTTGGTCACCACAAAAAGAGCTGCTATAAATATTTTGTACATGTGGTCCTTTTCCCATTTGTATGATCTCTTTGGGATACAGACCTAGAAGTGGTATTACTGAGTTAAAGGGTATGCACATTTTTATAGCCTTTTGGGCATAGTTCCAAATTACTCTTCAGAATGGTTGGACCAATTCACAACTCTACCAACAGTGCATTAGTGTCCCAGTTTTCCCACATCCTCTCCAACATTTGTCATTTTCCTTTTCTATCATATCAGCTAATTTAATGTGAGGTGGTACCTCAGAGTTGTTTTAATTTGCATCAACAGTGATTTAGAGCATCTTTTTCTTTTTTTTTTTTTTGGTTAGGCAATGGGGTTAAGTGACTTGCCTAGGGTCACACAGCTAGTGTTGTGTGTCTGAGGCTGAATTTGAACTCAGGTCCTCCTGAATCCAGGGCCAATGCTCTATCCACTGAGCCACCTAGCTGCTAGAGCATCTTTTTCATATGACTATAGATAGCTTTGATTTTTTTTTTCTTTTGCAAACTGCCTGTTCATGTCCTTTGGCCATATATCAATTGGGGAATGACTTGTATTCTTACAAATTTGACTCATTTTTCTATGTGTTTGAAAAATAAGGTCTTTAATCAGAGAAATTTGTTGTAAAAAATTTTCCCCAGTTTTTTGCTTTCCTTCTAATCTTGGCTGCATTGGTTTTGTTTGTGCAAAACTTTTTAACTTAACATAATCAGAATTATCCATTTTATATCCTGTAATGCTCTTTATCTCTTGTTTGATCACAAATTCTTCCTTTATCCATAGATTTAACAGGTAAACTATTCCATGCTCCCCTAATTTGCTTATGGTGTCACCCTTTCTGTCTAAATCATGTCATCCATTCTGCTATCTGCTTCCATTTTATGGATGAATTCATCTCATTCACATTTGTTAGTTACAATTACCAACTCTGTATTTCCTTCCATCCTACTTTTTCCCTCTGTTTATCCTTCTCTCTCTCCTTTCACCCTGTCCCTACTTAAAAGTATTTTGCTTCTGACTGCTGTCTCTCCCAGCCTGCCCTCCCTTCTGTCAGCCCCCCCACCTTTTTTATTCCCTCTCCTCTGCTACTCCCCTGTAGGGTAAGATAGATATCTATATACAACTGAGTGGAAATGTTATTCCCTCTTTGAGCCAGTTTCAGTGAGATAAGGTTCAAGAGTTGTTCATCCCCCACCTTCCATCTTCCCCTCAAATGGAAAAGCTCTTTTGTGACTCTTTTCTGTGAGATAATTTACCCCATTTTACCTCACCATTTCCCTTTCTCCTAGTGCATCCCTCTTTCTCACTCCTTAATTTTTTTAGATAGTCATCTCATCATAGTCAACTCACACCCATGCCCTCGATTTATGTATACTCTTTCTAACTGCCCTAATGATGACAAAATTCTTACAAGTACCGTCTTCTCCTGTAGAAATGTGAACAGTTTAACCTTATTGAATCCCTTATGATTTCTCTTTCCTGTTTACCTTTTTATGCTTCTCTTGATTCCTGTATTTGAAAGTCACATTTTATGTTCAGCTCTGGTCTTTTCCTCAGGAGTGCATGAAAGTCCTCTATTTCACTGAATGTCTATTTTTCCTCTGAAGGATTATTTTCAGTTTTGCCTAGTAAGTGATTCTTCTTTGTCATGCTAGCTTCTTTGCCCTCTGGAATATCATCTTCTGAGCCCTCCAATCCTTTAATGTAGAAGCTGCTGAATCTTGCGTGATCCTGACTGTAGCAGCATGATACTTGAATTGTTTCTTTCTTGCTGCTTACAGTATTTCCTCTTTGACCTTGGAGCTTTGGAATTTGGCTATAATGTTCCTAGGAGTTTTCATTTTGGGATCTTTTAGGAGGGAATCAGTGGATTCTTTCAATTTTATTTTTTACCCTCAGGTTCTAGGTCTAGGATATCAGGGTAGTTTTCCTTGATAATTTCTTGAAATATGCTTTCTTGAAATATGATGTCTAGGCTTTTTTATTGGATCATGGCTTTCAGATAGTCCAATAATTCTTAAATTCTCTCTCCTTCATCTGTTTTCCAGGTCAGTTGTTTTTCCAATGAGCTAGTTCACAATTTCTCCTTTTTTTCATTCTTTTGATTTTGTTTTATTGTTTCTTGATGTCTCGTGGAGTCCATAGCATCCTTTTGCCCAATTCTGATTTTTAAGAATTATGTTCTTCAGTGAGCTTTTGTAGCTCTTTTTCGATTTGGTCAATTCAGCTTTTTAAGGAGTTCTTCCCTTCAGTGGATTTTTGTGCCTCTTTTGCCATTTGACCTATTCTGTTTGTTTTTAAAAGTTGTTATATTTTTCAATTGCCTTCTTTACCAGGCTGTTCACTTTTTTTTCATGATTTGCTTGTATCACTCTCATTTCCCTGATTTTTCCCCACTTCTCTTATTTGATTTTTAAAATACATTTTTAACTCTTTTGGAAATTCTTTTGGGGCCTGAGACCAATTCACATTTTCCTTTGAGGATTTGCCTGTAGCTGTTTTAATATTGTCTTCTGAGTTTATGTTTTGATCTTTCCTTTCACTATAGTAGCTTTCTATGGTCACTTTCTTTTTTTGTTGTTTGCTCATTTTTCAGCCTATTTCTTGACTTTTAACTTTATGTTAAAGTTGGACTCTGCTCCCAGAATGGAGGGGGCACTTTCCCAAGCTTCAAATTTTTCTTACTTCTGTTTTTAGAGTTAGCTCTGTGGGTCTGTAGTTTTTTTGGTTCTTCCAAGGTGGTATGATATAGAGAAGTTTGGTCATTGTTCCCCTGGCCCATGCTCTGGTCTGTGAATTAGCACAAATACTCTTTTTTGCCCTGGAACTGTATCCAGGGTCCCTGCTTCTGCTAGTGCTCCTCCTCACCCTGGGACATTGACCCAGAACTGCATATACACAATGCAACAGAGTCCTGCTTCCAGTGCCAGCAGAGGGTCCCCTCCTTCTGACCACTTGTCTGAACCCCTTATTATCTGTGAGCTAAGAGCTCTGGAAGCCACTGTTGCTGGCTTGCCACGGCAGCCTGTGCTGGATTGTGCTCCACTCTCACCCCAGTGAGATAGACCTTTTCTGCCAGCTTCTAAGTCTTCTTGGGCTGGAAAATTGTTTTACCCTGTCCTTTTGTTCTGTTCTTTCAGAATTTATTTTGAGGCATTATTTTAATGTTGTTTGGAGGGGAGTTTGGGAGAGCTCAGGCAGGCCCCTGCCTTCACTCTGCCATCTTGGTTCTGTCCCCCAGTAAGATGTGTTTTGATCCAACAAAGTTAATTTTCAACAGTCTGTTCTAGGTGTACTTAGACTCATACAAGTCATATAATCAAAGACCTCCCAAAATCATGAAATCCCATTTTGCAGCATCTCTTTTTTGTTGTTTTGGGAGCATCATTCAGTAAGACTTTAATTGCACCAAATTCGGGAAAAATGTAATAGGCCATGGTGCACTCCTCATCTGTTTGGGGAGTAGGAGGTTATAAGATCACAGATTTAGACCTGGAAGGGACCCTTTCCAGAACTTAGAAGCCCCAGTCCAATTTCCTCATTTACAAATGGGGAAATTGAAGCCAGGGAGGTTAATTGACTTGTCCAAGGTCACACAGGTAGTGATTAGCAGGGCCTCCACTTGAATACAGATCCCTATACCATACTACAGAGGCTTTGTTATAGAGCAGAATCCTGCTCAGATACAGGGTGAACTGTTTAACTTATAATTTATTCAGTGCTTGCTGAGCTTTTTGAAACAATTAAAATGTGTCTTAGCACGATGGTGGCAGGACCTGAAGCTGCACTGTATCACATTTTGGTTCCTAGATCTCTGCCTACTCTCTAATTCAACTCGATTAATATTTATTAAGTATAAATGATGTGCCTTGAGTAGGCAGCGTTTGTTTATTTTCCTCATTTTGTTTCTTTTAGAACACAGTGGACGATCACAGCCATATCCCTTTGAGCGAATGATTTTTGGTGCATGTGCTGGCCTCATTGGCCAGTCAGCCTCCTACCCGCTAGATGTTGTACGGCGACGGATGCAAACAGCAGGAGTAAAGGGTCAGACTTATGATAGCATCATATGCACCTTGCAAGACATTGTCAGGGAAGAGGGAGTCATCCAAGGTTTATACAAGGGACTGAGCATGAACTGGCTTAAAGGCCCAATAGCGGTGGGAATCAGTTTTACCACTTTTGACCTAATGCAGATTCTTCTTCGTAAATTAGATGATGCTAGTTGTAACCGGAGTTAATGCTCTAATGTTCAGCTACCCAGATTACTTACTGAAGCACATGTGTATATGTAGAAAATGCTAGTACTATCCCCTACATTATTGTGAAATGTGATCTGAAATTTACTTTATTGTTTTGAATAATTGAGTTTGCAGTTCTGAAAAGATGCACTTACAATTGATCTTCTCTAACACCAAGTTCTCTTAGAGCAGCAAGTAATCTTTGAGCTCTGGGCAGCATTTGTCCTCCGAATTCTTCCCCTTGAAGATGTTTCTAACCCTCAAATTAGTGAAGAGGACTATGCTTCTGAAGCAGGCTCAGAGCACATCCAGGAATTAGGAGGATATCCTAAGATGGTCACTGTCTGAGAGGTGTTTAGGGAACACAACTTAGTATTTGGTTTTAAACATCCTATAAAATGCAGTATTTCACTTTTGAAAGTTTGGTTGTCTATTAGATAGCTGAATTGAGGTTAATATTCTTTTGAAAGGAAAAATTCAGAGTTCTGTTATTCATTTTTTTTAAATTGGTCCCTGGAAGGGAGATGGATTCATCAAAATCAAGGATCCCAAATGATTTCTTGTCCAAGGTCTAGGACTTTTTGGATTTAATCTGTCCATGCCTCTGAAGAAGGTAAATAAGATTAGAGGGTCTGTAGGACCGGCTTAAGTTTCTTCTCATGAGCTGTTGGAAGTAGGTAAAGGTAATCCTTTTCTCCAATGGCATGTGATGAATGTACTTTGAGCCCTCCTAAGTCTTGAGAAGCTGTTACCAGAAAGTAAGTGTAGATTTCCATAAATACCATATCCCTGACCCTCCTCAGATGCTTTCATTCTTGGTATAGTATTGTCTGTGTGAATACCATAGACTTCCAAATTTCCCTAGAAATGTCAAAGTTTTTGAGATTTTAAACAGGGAATTTTGTAAACTTGAAATTCATAGGTCACATCCTTCATTGAATATAATTGCTGCTAAGTGACCAACTTAAAGGAGAATTCAATCTCTCACCAGACATGGCAGATCAAGGAAGGTGAATCCTTGTTGTCTTCGGCGCTCTCGCATAAATATGCTTCTTTACAGTGGTGGATAGACCAGCTTCTGTACTTCAGATGGAGCAGGCTCATCTTGAATTTGCTCATAGAAAATGATGCCCTCTGAGAGGCCCCTCCCACAGTGACCCACAGTCGTTTAAGAGCCGCCTGATCTCATTGCTCAGGTGCCTTATTTTCCCAGCTCTAAGTGGGCCATGGAGCCTGAAGAACAAGGCCTACTAATGTGCTGCTCCAAAGAGTTGGCAGTACACTGTGGTGCTTAGAATGTCCACTGTGATATTTCCTGGGGAGATTTCTCACCCCTGGCTTAGCACCTCCCCCCAAACACATACTTTTAAAGGAAAGGGGAACTTATCAAATTATTCTAAGCTAAATCTTAGAGCACAAGAAGCATAAGAGAATGTCCCATATCCTGAATGACCCCAGGATCCCACAGTGAGGAAGTACATGCCCAGCTCACACCAGGAGTAGGAAGGTGCCTGGAAGATTTTCTTCTCCTGGAGGGTTGCTGCTCAGATGGGAAGGACTGTGTGTGGCAAACCACAGGGTGCAGAGAAAGGCCTTTTCCGATGTAGGTATTTTTAACTGTGTGATTTTTTAAAGGTCAGAATCTGTATCATGACTTCATTAGTATAAAATGAACATCATTGAACAGTCAGTGAAATTTGAATGCCCTTGTGTTTGGTTCTGATTTTGTACTCTGGACAGAAATTGCTTTAAAGCCAAATAGCCAATGTGATGAGTTCCCATTTTGCAATCAAGTTCCACTCAGCCAAGGACAATCAGCTTGGATATTTAAGTATTCCTCTATCTCTGTAAAGTTCAGTAGCTATACTTTCAGAGTCCTGGTGGTTAAGTTTCCTATTACTGGGAAGGTGTCCTTGGTGAAGCATTGACTTTCTAGGTGGTGGTATAGGAATAGTGAGGTTCTCTTCTACCTGGTATGTGAAGTGCCATTCCCAGACCTCTTGAGAAGAATGAACTGTCCTCTTCTGAAAGGCGGACTGGAGGAAGGGGAGGGTAGTCTGTCCCCACTGAGCCAACCTCCAGCCCAGCACCATCTCATATGGTTCTAGGCACCTGGGAAGCCAAGGCTTCTTTTGAGTGGCCCCTTTTGAAAGTCTTGTACTGTGTTCATGTCTGAGTGCTGTGTTTTGACACCCCCTTCCAGTATTGCTTCCCAGTCTGTCTTTGGAAAAAGGAAAGTATAAACTTCTGGGATCCACAGGATTTTGTGTCATGTTTTAAAATAGAGATAGAGAAGAGGGGAGCTTAAATTTGACTCTGTCACTGTTTGCTGACCTGAAATGAGATCACATCTGGGCAATCTCCAGCAGGTCATCATGGTCCCCTTCAGAAGTATAAACTGGAATTGAAAAAAGATGGACTTTGGGGGAAGCCCAGGATGGTGTCTTTACTGAACAATAAATTTGAAAATCCTCCTACAATGCAATAACAGTAATAGTGGACCTTAGATACTCATTTCCATATTTTCTTTCCAGTAAAACATTTCCCTGATCCTCATGTTTATTCACATGACAGACTTAATCATTTTAATCCCATTTCCTGAAATAGTTTTGGTCGGGGTTTGGGGGGAACTTTGCACAAGTCTTTGTGTATGAAAGTAGCTGAGATGTGTGTGTGTGTGTGTGTGTGTGTGTGTGCGCGTGTGTGTGTCTTATATGTATGTTAAATAAGGATTTTTTTTTTCCTTGCCCAATGCTTGCCTTATGGGTGTGAAGAGCCTTCTCTGTGTTCATACTTTGCATGGGTGTTCCTGTCCTGTAATTTCAGTCTTGCCTGAACAGAGGGGACAGAAATAGACCATCATCCTCATGGGGGAGAAGTCTTTCACTCCCCCAAGCTGCAGGCTTCATGTTTGAAGGCAAGAGCTATATTGTTCACACCACCTTCTCCCTCGTTTTCTGAGCTCAGCTCATTCTCCTATATTGGCCCAGTATCTTCCTTTCTTTGTGGGTTTGTTGTTGGAGATTTTGCTGTACTCTGGCCTCTTGTACATTCTCTGCCAAGCACATAATGTTACATTATCCTGTTATGTCTCCTCTGACCTCAGTACTCTAGGGGATTTTGTTACCCAGGAGGCATTTTGGCCATGCTGCACGTGTCCAAGGAAGAGCAGTTTTGACACTGTTGTCTGCCCCTGTTTCATGGAAGCAAAGGCTATCAGTAAGAGTCTGTCCTTTAAGGAGTTTACTGTAAGGATCCCGTGCACATCCTGAGCCTGAAGGGCAAAAATCCAAAGCAAAGCCCTTCCTTCTGTGGAAATGGAGCGTTCAAAAAGGTCATTTTTTCTTCTCAAGATTTGTCCGTGGCACCCATGTACACTTTCAGGATTAGACATCTTCCCGGTCAGATTTTCGAAGGGAAGATCCAGGAACACCAGCACCCTCGCCTCTTTGTCCTGCTGTGGCAGCTGCCTCCCTTTTGGGCTTTTTAGTCTGCAGTGCTGTATATGGGTCTAGCAGCTGCTGAAGCCCAGCCAGATCACAGAAATGTGACACTGGACATTTGAAGCCAGGTTACCATCCATTCCCTCGTACTGTGGTTGAGCTAAGCTTTAATGGAAACTCTCGACATCTCTGAAAGGGAAAGTATAGCCAATGGAGACATTTTCTTCATTGGAGAATTTTTAGGTTCTTTGCTGAGCAGTTTGATGTGGAGGTTGAATGAACCTGGTTAGTTTAGCCTGCTTTAGGCAGTAATCCACCCTAGAAATCAGTTTCCCGAGAGGAAGAGCGGGAGGATGTGGACCTGACCCAGGGGGAACGTGGCATTTTGTTCTTCAGCTGCGATGCTGTCTCAGAACCAGTGAACCTAACAGTGGGAGTGAGCGAGCGAGAGGTGCTTTGTATGCATGCATGAGTGGCCTCTGTGAGCGAGCACTTCTTGGAAAAAGTGCAATTTCCAGAATTGGATCAGACAGAAAGATTTTGGTCCTGAAACCTTTCAAGAGCTTTAGAATCAGGTACTCTCGGGCCCTTTAGGGCCTCCCTATGCTGCGTTTCTGAATAACCAACTCCCTGATGCCTGGTTTTCCCCAAATGCTGTGTTTTGCAGGGACTTGACACTGTTGTCCACCTAGCTTGCCTATGCACCTAATACGTGACATTGTTAAATGCCTTTTGTAAAGATGTGTTATTGCTGTCCGTGTGTCAATTTTGATTGCTTTTATTGGTCTGGAGTTATATTTTGATGCAGTGAAGATACTTTGTTTATATATATATATATATATATATATAATGTTTATATTTTAAGATTTGTGCCAAGAGAATATATTTAATAAAAATTAAAATAATTTGATTTCCTTTCTCTGTTTTTCCTTTTCCATTCCCACTCTTCTTGCGTATAACTGACCATAATATGAATTTGAAGTTTCTTTTAAGATATCTGTTGTATTTATTGAATAAAAATATATGTTGTTTGTTACTGATTTTAAAAATCAGATGAGCTGAAACTTTTTTTCTCTCTTCTTCTCCATTTAAAAAAGGAACAGCACCAAGTTAATTTGCTTTTTACTCATGTGGACCTCAATAGGATCTTTTCTATGGGTCAGTAGCCGCCAACGAAGGTTTCGCTGACCCTGGTGGATGACTCCATTTTGCCAGACTAACCTTGTAAGTTGACACCTGTTCACTGGCAAGGCTAGCAGCAGCAAAGACAGAATTCTTCTCCTTCACAAATTTCCCAACTGTCAGTATTCTAGACTTGGATTTAAAAGGCCCAGTTTGTCTTAGAGAACCAGCAGTCCTTACTAGTGTAGTCAGGAAAGACCGAAGCTTATACCATCCTGGCTCTGATACTTAATAGCTGTGTAACCATGGGCTCCCACATTGTGGGCCAGGATTTCAAGGAACAGGGCCCTTAACTCCATTGCCCTCGCCGTGGAGTTTATTTATAGTATTCAAACCGGTCCAGTGGACAAAAGATATTGTGGATGCAGGTTCCCTGATTGTCATAGCTGCCCTCTGGATCTGAAATGTTACTTTTGCCTCTGAGGAATGAAGCAACGCACATATTAGTTAGAAATCAGTTCTGTGCAGAATTACAGGCTCATCCTGAGTGGCTTCAGAGCAACAGGTAGGGGGTGAAGTTTTAGGACTAAGGTAGAGATAAAGGGAGCTGGAATTTTTTATGAATGTACCAGTCAAGGTTAGAGAGGCTCAAGGCACTTTTTTAATTACTTTTTTTTTTTTTTTTTTTGCTATTAGGCATTTTTTTCTCTTCCCTTCCCAGTCACACTCTGGAAAAAAAAAAAGATAAAAAGAAAAGAAAAACTCATGTAACAAATATGCATAATCAAGCAAAACAAATTCTCATGTTGGCTGTGTCCAGAAATCTCTTTCTCCATATTTAGTCTGTCACGTCTTTCAAGAGATGAGTAGCATTCTGTCTTCAGTCCTTTGGAATCATGGTTTGTCAGAGTTCTTAGATCTTTCAGAAATCATTTTTACAATGTTACAGTAGAAATTGTGCTCCTTGTTCTACTCGCTTCACTTTGCTTGAGTTCATACAAGTTTTTTTCCAGATTTTTCTGCAGCACAATGGTATTCCATCACCTTTGCATATCATGATTTATCCAGCCATTCCTCAGTTGATGGCCACTCCCATAATTTCCAGTTCCTTGCCACTACAAATATCTTTGTATATAGGACCTTTTTCTTTCCTTTGATTTCTTTGAGGGGGGAGGTTTGGTGGTGGTGGTGGTGGTGGTAGAGGAGGAGGAACAGGGCAGAATGCAACAGGCCTACTTGTAGTATTGATGGGCTAAAGGCTGTGTAAGTAATTTGAGGCATAGTTCCAAACGGCTTTCCAGATTGACAGGATCAATTTGCAGCTCCACCAGGTATATCAATGTACCTATTTTCATGCAGTCCCTCGAGCATCTGTCATTTACCTCTGTTGTCAATTCTGCCAAATCCCAGTTGCTTTAATTTGCATTTCTCATTATTTGTGACTCGAAGCATTTTTTCATGTAGCCATAGATGGCTTGGATTTCTTCCCTTGAGAATTTGCCTATTCATATCCTTTGACCTTTTATCAATTGGGCAATGGCCCTAAGGCACTTTTGAACAAACTGTGGGATTGGTAGAATTCCTTTATTGGGTATCAGCAGCTTTACTTAACATACTGTGTTATTACAGCTGTTTCTGTCTACATGTACCCACTCTTCCCTCTTGAGGGAGAGCTTAATCTAACCAGAATGAACAAGTCATGTGATCTCACTGGGCCTCATTTTCCTCATCTGAAAAATGAAGAGGTAAGCTAGATAAACACTAAATCTTTTAAGTTTAAAATCCTTATTTAACATAATTTATAATCTACTAATGAGACGCACATAAAACTAAAGGCCCAGTGCTAGAAATCTGCACAAAGAATTTAAAATACATTGAGGGATGTCTTAGAGCAATTCTAGTCTGGAGAATCAGCAAAGAATTTTTTAGAGCTGGAAGAGGTTTGAAAGCAGTCTAGTCCAATACCCTCATTTCTGGAAACAGACCTGGAGAGGTTAAGTGTCTTGTGTGAAGTCAGCATGACAGAAGTAGGATTCAAACCTGGGTCTTCTGATAACAGATTTAGCATTTTCTCCCTGGACCACACATGAAAGATGTGGCATTTAAGCTTGCAGTGTCTAACTATTTGGTTCCCATATGGGCAAGATCCTTCCTGAGCCCCAAAGTCACTGCCAGTACCTGAAGCCATGTGGCTTCCTTGGGGCCAGGTGAGCTAGTGTGGTTTTGCCAATCAATGAACATTTGTAAACATTCCATTTATTAAGCACCTGTGTGTAAGGTGATGGGTCAGGGGTTATTAACCTTTTTTTCTGTCCTGCACCCCTTTGGCAGTGTGCTAAAGTTTATGGGACCTCAGAATAACTTTTTTAAATAATTAAAGGAAATGCTAAATTTCAGTTAGAAGTGAGTTAAAATAAAGATGTAATATTTCCCATCCAAGTTCACAGACATCCTGGAATCTAATCATGGATCCCTTGGGAGTCCTTGGACTGCAGATTAAGAACCCCTGGCCTAGGAATAGATGCAAACACAAAAATAAAAAGAGTAATTTGAAATAAGATAAATGTCTATATCTGCAGACAGGGGTGCCCTGAAGGCAGTGTGGTATTGGGGAAAGAGCAGTGGACTTTCTAGTCAGAAGCAGACCCAAGGATTCCGACCAGCTCTGCCGCTAACCTGAGTTTCCCTATCTGTAAAATGTGGAGATTTCCAAGATCAACCCTAAGACTCCCTTATAGCCTATGATTTCTAAGTCATTTTGTTTTAGGGGTCGCTGCCATTTATTGATCATTATGGTTATAAAAAGCATCTCTTCTAATCCCATTTTACAGAGGAAGAAACCTACCAGTTGTGTGATGTGATCTTGGCCAAATCATTTCTCCGAGTTTCTACTTCCTTTTCTGTAAAACAGGGATGATAATACTTCAACCGTCTACCACAAAGACACATGAGAGACCCACTAAACTATAACATGCCTTAGAAAAAGTCAAACATCAGGAGAGCGTGTAATCAAGCCTGCGGCTCCCATGCTGCCTTGAGGGAGGGAGGGCCCTTCGCCACTAGAGGGCACTGCTTCTGCTCTCTTCCCAGAGGATGGTGTTAACCTGAACCAGAAGGCACCTGAGACCTGCTTCAGCCCGACCTGTGGTTGAGGGTTAGTGCTGCATGAGTCACCTGGGCAGCCTTCGGTGGTCCTAGGATGACATAAAAGTACAAGAACGCCACGTGACCTCTGTCTCCCAGTCTGTGCTTTGCACACTACGTCCGTCCACCGAACTCCCCACCCCCACTCCCATTGCTGGGCAGCATCTCTTGGAATGTCTGCTTTCCTTCAAGACTTCGCTCAGGTAGCACCTCTGGTAGACCTTTCTTAATTCACACCCTCTTCCCCCAATTCATCATTTACTGATCCGTGTACATGCTGTTTCTCCCTCGTCCTAAATGAGGATGGCACCCAGAACGGCTGCTTCCAACTTGGGCTCAGAAGACCCTGGCTTCAGCCTCTTGCTTCCTCTCTTCCTCCTGTCCCCCACCCCCAATCAGGAAGCTCCTTGAGGACAGGCACTAGTAGTACCCAGCACAGTAGTACCCAGTGAACAGCAGGCACTTATTGAGACAGATTCTATGTGGTCTGCCTTTCATCTTTGTCTTTGTATGCCCAGCACCCAGCCCAATGCCTTGGACAGAGTGCACTTAATAAGTGTCCAGTGGTTGAATCGAGGGTCGTGAAACCATAGGTTTAAAGCTAGAAGGGACCTTAGAGAGTGAATTCAAACCCTTTCATTTTATAAATGAGGAAACTGAGGTCTAGTCAAGGGAAAGGAGGGACTCGCTAAGCCAAGCCAGGACTTCTCTTGACTTCCGGTTCTGCCCTCATCCCCATTAAGTTATGACATCTGTTCACCGCTACACTGCCTGACTTTAGGAATGGATGTCAGTCGTTACTTCTCCTTCCCACACTAGTCTTAGAAATGGGTTGGAGTTCAAATCTAGCCTCAGACACTTGACACTCTTTATAGATGGTACAACAGGTTTGGCGGGGGGGGGGCGGATCTCATAGCTATCGAGGTGCCAAAATGATTCCAAAAGGACAAAACAGGATAATTTAAGATAGAAGAGGAAAGCTGCAAAGTGTACTCTAAAAGGCCAGATTTGAAAGTGAGGAATCCTCAGCTCAAATCCCCATTCAGACATTGGCCCTGGGAGAGCTGCTTGATTTCAAGGGCCTCAGTTTCCTCATCTGTACAGAATGAGACTAATAGGGCTTGTGCCACTTATATTCCCACTTAGACTCACTTCAAAGGAAGTGAGAGATGTGCTTCTAAAACCTGAAAGCCCTGGAAAAATGGTAATGGCGCGTTGAGGCGAAGTTGACCCAAGCACCTGGGCACTAAATTTCAGATGGTTTCCTGGCAGCAGAGACTTTTTTTTTTGCATTCTTTAGTTGTCTTTGTCTGAAGCCAGGGAGTTCGCAGCTCTCAGTCTGGGTGACGTTATCATCGAATGACAGGGGGCAGCTGGATGGGGGTGGGGCCGGGCCAGCTGCCGGCAGGTTCGTCCCAGGGCTGAGCTTCAGCTCCTGAGACCCCAGAATGGGCAGACCCTGGCTCCAGCCTCCTGCTCCCTCTCTTCTCTCCTCTCCTGTGTTCCTTCTCCCCTCCCCACCCCATTGTCTTTGTCCATCCTCATGGTCTAATTACAGTCTGAGTGAAATTTTCTTCCCCCATTCTCTACCCAGGCACCGTGTGGGCCCCCGAGGTCATGTCTGGGCAGCCCCATGAGAACAGTTGTCTGCATAGCTGGGCAGTGGAGACAAGGCTCCTGGCAACGGGGTTGGCCCCTGGCCTTGTCTGTCCTCCAAGGGCCGTGGGTAACGAGGGGAATTAGATAAAGAAGCCATCAGGCCTGCCGCTTCCCAGGGAGGTGGAGGGAAGGGACCTTAGAGGGCATCTGGTCTGACCCATCCCCAAAAGGGATGCTCCTTTACACCATCTCTGACAAGCAGTCATCCGGCGACAGGGAACTCACTACCTCATGAGGCAGTGTATTCCACTCGTTATAGCTCCAGTTAGTATACTGAGGAAGATTGGCTTTCCATCGAGGCAAATTGGCCGTGGTGCATTTTCTACCCATTGTTCTTAATTCTGCTCTCTGGGGCCAAGAATGACCCTCTGCCCCTTGGACCACCCCTTATGCTCCCTTCTCCCCCAGCTAAGCACAGCTTCACCTTCTGATCCCCATTCGGCCTTGTCTCCAGGTCCCTCTCCATCAACCCACTCTCCAGGTCGCCAGGGATGCTCCAGTAGGCACTGATGATGTCTGAGCTCTGAACCCAGTTCGTCAACCTTTAGCCCTTCCTCCGTGGGGAGTCAAAAAGACCAGCACTGAGTCCTGGCCCTTCGCTTTGCCCTCTGTGGGCCTGTTTCCTCTTCTGTTAAATGGAGTACTTACTAGGTGATCTCCAAGGTTCCGTGCAGTCCCACAGAACTAGGGAGCACGGGGTACTCTGAGCTTCGGGAGGAATGAGTGGGAAGCAAACATTTCTTCCTGCTCCAGGGCGACAGCCGACAAAAGGACTCATGCCCACTAGAGAGGGCCTTTGGTTCTAGAAGGCCCCTAGAAAAAACATCCCTGTTCCTCAGGCCTGTTACCAAGAGAGGCAAAGGTCCCCAGGTAAGGATGCAGAGCTCTTAGGGCAGTGAGGGCTGGGAAGGAGCTGAGACCTAGCCTGAGGCTGCAACCACCAAACAGGTATATCAAATGGGGGTTTCCCCAATGAGAGGCACAGAAAGGAGCAGGTAGGAGGAAGCTTAGGATAAACCCTCCCCCATTTCTCGCCTTTCTGACCCCATCCACTCACAAGGTATGATGAGTGGAATTCGTCCCTAAAGGGCTTGAGCCAGGCAAAGGGAAGGTGTGTCTCAGGAAGACCCTGCCCCCCGAAAAAATCCTCCCTTAAATTCCAGCTTCTGGTTCTAAATTCTTAGGTTCCAAATGCCTCCGGTTGGAGACACCGGGAGAAGGTTAGCAGGCTAAAGATGACCACCTGGAAGAAAGAAAGTTGCCCCAGAGAGACAAAAAGACCCAAAGACACAGACCCACTACACTCCCAGAGGCAGGGCAGACCCTGGCTAAGCTCCTGACCCAAGGAATGATGGATTTGACAGCCTTCTACATGTCAACCATTATCCTCCTTTATTCAAGTAAAACAGGGGCCCATAATCAAGGGTTCATGAACTTTAAAAAAAAAATTCTGATAATTGTATTTCAAAATAATTGATTTCCTTTGTAATCTTAGATATTTTATTTTATGCATTTAAAAACCTTATTCTGAGAAAAGGGTGCATAGATTAAGGGTTCCAGGATGCAATAAAAGATCCTGAATTAAAATAAGAAGCAAACTCAGCCGATGTAGGAGAATACTTCAGCCACCTTCCACGTGCCCATGAGGCTCTTTTCTCTCTCTCTCTCTCTCTCTCTCTCTCTCTCTAACCCTCCATTTCTGAGAAAGAGGGATCAGAGCGGAGCCAGAAATGGGGGTTTTCTCCCATCCTGTCCTATCAGTCCGTCTCCTGGAAAGGCTGATTCGATGGGACCCCTTTTCTCACCATCCTTGTCAAAGGTCCCAGGGACCAGCCCAGCTTCCAGGAGACAGCAGAGGTCAAAGTCGGAGGGAGAGGCAAGGTCAGAGCCAGGACAGAGGCTCCCAGCCTGGGGGGCCATGGTCTCAGGCACTATGGGTGAAACTGGTGGATGAGAAGGGGAGGAGTCCTGAGCAGAGATGGTGGCAGCCCTTCCCCCCAGCCCTGCTCAGTACAGAAGAGCCAAGCCTCCCTATATGCCCTGGCACCATTCCAGGCCACGCTCTGGCCTGACAGACCTGAAGAAGAAGGCTATACCTCCCCTATGCACACAGTCACATAACCCTAGTCCCCCCCAAGGTGGGCTAGGAAGATGCCAGGCGCTGGTGGAAGTAGAGGCCAAAGAGACTGGTAAGCAGCTGGCATGCAGCTGTCCACCAGGTGAAGAAGGCGAAGAGGCCCCGATAGAAAGCAGGGGCGAAGAGACCCCCCAGGGCACCCAGGATCTGGGCCACTGTGGCCTGCACCTCATCTTCTCCAGGGGTGGCAGCCAGGGCCGGCGGTGGGACTGGCCTGAGGGGATGGCTGGTAGACCCCAGGCCCCAGGAATAGCCACCTGTGGAGATGGGCAGAAGACAGTGAGGGGAAAGAGCTGGGAGGTGGTCCAGCTCTGGATCCCCCCCCAGCCCAACCCATACCTAGAGTCTTCAGTAACAGCGTAAGGTGAAGGGTGAGGATGATGGGGGCCAGGTACTGCAAGCTCACCACCGCGACGTAGCAGTAAATCCGTGTGATCTGGAGAGTGGGAAGAAGAAAGCAAGGGGCTGCCACTGCTGCTCACGAGGCTTCTAGGGCTCACCTATAAAGGGGAGAGCAGGAGGCCTAATCTATACTCCAGGGATGCTGGGAAAGACCCATCAGTAATAATAATAATAATAATAATAATGACAGCTCCCATTTCTATAGTGTTTGATACACAGCAACCCCATGAGATACGGAATGCATTTCTGGAGCATCATCCCCATTTCATAGATGGAGAAATTGAGGGACAGAGGTTCAATGACTTGCCCAAGGTCCCAAAGCCAGTTAGTGTTGGAGCCAGGATTTGAACCTGTTTCTGATTCCAAATACACCTTTATGATGCACCAAGCTGCCTCTGGGTCCCAAAACTGGGGAAATGAACCAGACTCCTAAGTCCTAGACCGGAATCCCACCCTCACTAAATGGATGTCCCTTCCCAGCTCGGTCCCCCCTCCACAGAGCTACCAAGGCACAACTGGACCAGGCTTCTCCCCGCTCCCTGTTACCTTGAAGGCCAAAGACCAACTCCCCTGGCACATACAGCTCTTCAGAGCCTGGATCCAGCCTCCCAGTCTCACTGCCCTCCCCACCCGGCCTCTTACTGTCTCCCCTCCGTGGCTTCCACCTCCCACCTCTGCACGGGCATCTGTCCATCCCCTGTGCCTGGAGAGCACGATCTCCTGCCCAGCCCCGCAGAAACCCTCACTTCTTTCCAAGCTCAGCCTGAGGTCTCCTCTAATGCCTCTGAGAATCACTTTGTGGTGGGGGTGTGTGTGTGTGTGTGTGTGTGTGTGTGTGTGTGTAGAATACATGTATACAGATGGGTAAGTATATATACACTATTTATGTATGTTATGTAATTATACTATTTATGTATAAAATATCAGCATATGAATACCTACCCCTATCCCATTAGGAAAGCCTATATACATATACCTGTATATGTATAGAATGTATTATGTACATGTGTGTACACAAATATATGCACTGTGTATACATACATATGTATATGTGTATGTCTACATATATGTACCTAGGCTCCCCTAACGGAATCTAATTCATACATGTCTGTGTGTGTACCTATATAAATATATGTATGTAGACTCCCCTAATGAAACAGAATCTGATAGACATACAGGGTATGTGCCTGTGTATGTATAAATGTGTGTGTATGTGTGTGTGTATACACACATCTGTGCAGGCTCCTCAATGGAATGGAATCTGACATATATGTATATGTATCTGTATGTGTATATGTATATAAATGTGTGTATGTGTATACACACACATCTATGTAGGCTCCTCAACAGAATGGAATCTAACAGACATGCATATATATGCCCATGTGTATATGTGTGGTATGTGTGTACATATACATGTGTAAGTAGGCTCCCATGATGAAATAGAATCTGATATATAAATGTATGGAGAAACCAGGAGAAGTTTAGTTGGCTAAAGATGAATACCTAAAAGAAAGAATGTTGCCCCAAAGGGATAATAAGTCTCCTTAGGACCCCACACTCAAATCCACTACACTCCCAGAGGCAGGTTAGACTTTGGCTGTATGTGTGTATGTGTGTGTGTGTGTATATATGTATGTGTGTATATGTGGGTACTTGTATATATGTGTATGTGTGTGTATATACATATATATATAAATATATATATACGTGTGTGTGTGTGTGTGTGTGTGTGTATACATACATATCCACACACGGATATAGTCTCCCCTAATGGAATGGCATCTAAGACAGACATATATGAGTGTGTGTGTATGTATACACATACATATATATGTGCACAGGATCTCCCAATGGAATGGTGTCTACGCCCCTAGAATGCAGGGGCTTTTTGTTTTGAATCTTAGTAGTGCCAGCACCCAGCCCAGCACCTGACACATAGTAGGGGCTTAATGATGTTTGCCTGATCAACGGATTCCTAGGTGTGTGACCATGAATGTCATTTCAGCCCTTTTCACTGTTTCCTCCTCCACAAAGTGCAGATAATCCTATTTCACAGGGAAATCAATCATCTGGGATATTCCCCATGAGGGAATGGGATCAAAGGGCCCATGGAAAGATCTTTGGGGAGTTTGCAGAGAGTGTACTCTATATGTCCGGCCTTGTACTGAGGACTGGGGTAAATGGAGTAAAATGAATGAACTAATTTCTCTCCTGAGGAGCTGACCTTCTAATGGGGGAGACAGCCAGTCCAGACAAAAATGTCTCTAGAACAAATATAAAAAGAGTTTGATAAAGTATAGAGTGGTTCAATGCAAGATCGTCTGGGTGGGTGGGTAGGGGCAGGGGAGAAGGAAAGCCATGCTGAAGAAAGTGGCTCTCGTGAGGAAGAGAGAGATTCCATGACCCAGGTGAGAGGGGAAGGCATTCCAGGCATGGAAGACGGCCAGTGCAAGGGCACAGAGATGAGAGAGTGAGCACTGTGGGTGAGGGAGAGAGGAGGCCAGCCTGGCTGGGTTACTGAGTGCAGGAGGGTAAGTTATGCCCAGAAACTGGAGAGGGTGGTACCATGTTGTGAAGGGCTTTCAAAGCTAAACAAGGGGATGGACATTTTATCCCAGGGCCAATAGGAAGCCACTGGTGTTGGCTAAGCAGAGCCGTCCCATGCTCAGGTCTGCACTTCAGGAATCCCTTTGGCAGCAGCAGGGAGTGAGACGAGTGTGGGGAGAAATCTGAGGCAGAAAGACCAAGTAGGAAGCTGCTGCGATGATCCGGGTGGGAGACGAGGAGGGTCTGCACTATAGTGGAGGTGTGTGAGAGAAGAGGAGAGGGGCAGGGGTGCAGGAGATCCTGTGGAGATAGAAAGATCAAGAAACACCTGGCTATGGAGAGTGAGAGCAAGGGGTCAAGGACAGTGATGAGGTTATGGTTTAGTGGGGTTGGCAGGTGCTAGTGGAACCTTGGAGAGGGACAGGAAAGCTGGGAGGAGGGGCGGAATTGGGGGCCCACGAAGGGGGCAGCTTGAGACATCTCTGGACCATCCAGGTGGAAATGTCCACTAGGCTATCAGAGATGCAGGACTGTAGGCGAGGAGAGAGACGGAAGCTGAGGGTTATCGGCATGGAGGTGGTAACTAAAGCCATCGGAGCTGATGAGATTACTAAGAGAGAGAAGAGAAGGGCCAAGGACAGAATCTGGGGGAACACTCACAGTTAGGGGGTGGGATAGGCCTGACGAGCCAATAAAGAAGACGGAGGAGTGGCCCGGTGGAGAAGAATAATGTGAAAAACCAGGGACGAGAGAGAATCCAGGAGGGGAGGGTGCTCAACCATGCCACCTGCGGCAGACAGTCTGAGAAGCAGGAGGACTGAAGAAAGACCACAAGATTTGGCAATGAAGAGATAACTGGGCTCCTCATGGTGGCGCACGCCTGTGATCCCTGGTATTGGGTGAGACTGAGGCTGATGGACCACTCGCACTCAGGAGCTCTAAGCTGCCATCAGTGTCCACACTAAGTCTATGCCAATGCGGAGAGCTTTTGGGAGGAGGAGGCCGGAAGGGTGAAGCAGCCCAGGATGGAAACAGAGCAGGTCAAAGTCTTAGTGCCAGTCAGCAGTGGGACCAAAGACTGGAGAGGTCAACTGTACTTCTAGCCTAAGAATGGAGACAGGAAGGGAGGAAGGGAAGGAGGGAAGGAAGGGAGGGAGGGAGGGAGAGGCAGAGAAAGGAAGAGAGAAGAAGGAAAGAGAAAGAGAAGGAGAGAAGGAGAAGAGAGAAAAAGAAAAGAGAAAAAAGGAAGGAAGGAAGGAAGATAGCTAGATTGGTAACTTTGGAGAGAGCAATTTTAGGTGAATGATAAAGAAGGGATATAGAGTAAGATAAGGTTAAATACAGATAAATAAAGAAGGGATGGAATAAGTGGGAGTAAATGAAGATAGCAAATAGGACCTTTTTTTTTTTTTTCCAGAAAGCAAGTCTAGACAAGTGAGAAAGGGAGGAGATACAGGACAAGAGCTCCAGGGAAGGGAGCAACCAGCAAAGGTCGTTGGGGACAGGGGAGACTTGGGCATCTCTAAAGGCTGGAGAAAAGGAACCAATGATAAAGAGAGGTAGAAAATTAGGAAAAGGGGGAGGGGATGATTTAGGATGTAATCTGCTAAGAAAGACAGGAGGGAATGGCACCAGAGTGGGGCTGGCTAGGCCAGGGGAAGGGCCACTTCTCTGACAACCTGGGGGAAAGGAGACAAGAACGGGGGATGATGAGATGAAAAGAATGGGAGAAAAGGAAGCTCTTAGAACGGCCTCAGTCTTCTCAATTAAGAGACAGGGTCCTCAGGTGAGAGGGCAGGAGGAGGAGGCATGAGAAGCTTGAGGGAGGAACAGAGTGAGATGGGGAATCATTTAGGGAGGAATCAAAGGACAGTCCTGCTGTAGGGAGGGCCCAGCTGCAGTTGGGGACGTGAACTGATAACGCACCAGTCAGCAAAGTTCTGCAACATTCTGCTCAGCAGCATATGAGGAGAGAAGGAGGCAGCCAGTGGGAGGAATCCAGAGCTGAGATTTGGCAGGAGATGAAGGCACCAAATGGCGAGGGGTTCCAGAGCACAAAACAAACGGGACTTAGGGATGAAATGGCCAATGAGAGGATCGTGATTGGAAAGGAAGGAAAATCCTCTGCAAATCATTGAAGTGTTATGGAAATGAGAGTGATTGCCACACCACACCATGACTTTGCATCTGCCAACTCTTCTCCATCTCCATGGATCCAACTCCATCCCTGGCCTCTCACCTGAACTACTGCTGACTCCTAAACAGCCTCCCCACTTCCACACTCTTCCCACGTTGCCAGCGTCATCTTCCCAAAGCCCAGCTCCGTCCCCACCTTCTCCCTCCCCTGCTCACACATCTGCTATGGCTCCCCTGGACTCAAAGAAGAAAGCCCAAATTCCTCAGCTTGGCCTTTAAGACCCTCCAGTGCCTGGCCCCAGGACCCTCCTCCGCTCTAAGGAGGCAGGACTCCTCACTACAGACTAGGAACACCCACGTCTCCTCACCCTCATTCTCCCAGCCTCCTTACCAAGCTCTCCATCATTGCCCAAATCCAAATCCTCCGCTGAATGGTATTCGCTGAGTCTGAACCACACATTCTAATCATTTGCTCATCATTTCATATTTTCAACCAAGCAAAGGGAATTCGCCTAAAGTCAGATGTAGTGGACAGACTTGGAGTCAGAAAGACCTGGGTTCAGAGCAGCTAGGTGACGAAGTGGATAGAGTGCCGGCCTTGGAGTCAGGAGGAACTGAGTTCAAATCTGGCCTCAGACCAAGTACTTGACACTTACTAGCTGTGTGACCCTGGGCAAGTCACTTAACCCCAACTGCCTTAAAAAAAAAAAAAAAGACCTGGGTTCCATTCCTGTCTCAGACAAAGACCAGCTACGTGACTCATCTGTAAAGTGGGGATGATAATAATAAAAACCTCCCTCCTGGGGCTCTCAGGAGGATCAGATCAGATAACATGTGTAATGTATTCGGCAGACTTTCCAATGCTACATTAAAGCATTCAAGTTTGCAAAGTGCTGTACAATAATTCCATCACTTCGTCCTCTCATCAACCATTGGATTGTCCCAATTTTACAGACGAAGAAACTGAGGCAGATGGAGGTCAAGTAACTTGTCCAGGATCACACAGCTATTGAGACAGCATTTGAACTCAGACCTTCCTGACATCAAGTCCAATTTTCTATCCCCTGAGACCCCTAACTACCTGTATAAATGTCTGTTATTATTGTTCTAAACCACACTCAACAGACAGGAGATACTATGGCTTAAAGAGGGGCCTAAGGTAAGAGTAGAATCTGCCCACCCTGTGGAGGAAGCCCATCCCTCCCAGCTGTGTCATGGACTACCTGCATGTCCTTGGGCAAGTCACAGCCTCTCCAGGCCTCAGTCTCCTCTTCTGTAAAAGGAGAGGGCAGGCCTCAATGACCTCTCAGGCCCCGTCTGAGTCTAGGCCATGGACTACAATGCCCCGCCTGGCCGTGCCAGGGCCCCTACCCTGCGCTGGATCTCCAGTGCACTGATGCGCCCAGCCTCCTTCCTCATCTGTTCCACCCAGCGCTGGGCCAGGCACAGGTAGGCCTGCAGGTGGGGCCTGGTTACAGCCAGCCTCACCAGGCACAAGGCCAGCACCAGCCACAGGCGCACGGAGTCAAAGGCAGAGTCCGACAGTCTGTAAGAAGCAGGGAGAGAAAGGGGTGGATCAGGGAGGCGCCCGGAGCCAGCCTCTCCACAGGCGCCTCGGACACACAGGCTCCTAAGATGCCCACTCTGCCCCATCCTCAACAGGACAAAGCCTCCCCCGCCTGCCTCCTCTCAGGAGAGGGTCACGGAGCAGGCTCAGCTCTCAGGACACCTGCTCCTGTTACACAAAACAGGACAGGGAAACTGAAACCTGGAGAAGGTAAGCGACGTGTCCAAGACGCCCAAGCAATGGGCGGCAGGGCCCAGCCTCACCCCTGGGTCTCTGCCCCTCCAGTCCTTGGCACCTGAGCATGCACTAGGTGCTTAACGGATGTTTGCTAGTTGTGCCCCACGGCCCCTGGGGAGACATCGCCAGCCCTCCCTGCCGTTAGCCCTGCAGCCCCGCTACTGCCCACCATCCCGGCCCAAGATACACACAGCTGGACAGGGGCTGTCTTTCCCATGGGGGCTTGCAGGAGGAAGTCCCGGGCAATGGGTTTGATCCACAGACACAAAATCAGCACAGGAGCCAGGAAACTGGTGTGGAGGACGAGCCTGCAGTTCCAAGGAGAGGCAGGAAGAGTAAGCAAGAGTGAACCTCTCTGGCCCCAAGGAAGTGAGGGGGAGGGGGCTGCCCTCCTGCACTTCTGGAGCCTCTTTTCCCATGCTCCCCCAGACCCTGCAAAGCCCCATCCTCCCCCAAGCCACATAACTGGAGCAGGGGTTGATCGGCTGCCAGGTGCAGAGCATCCAGGTGGGTCTGAGCCAGGCGCAGGCCTGGAAACGTGAGGCAGGCCCCCAGGACAGAGCACACAGCCACCAGGACCAGGCGGAAGGTCAGCTTGATCAGGGGGATCCTGCAGGAAAAATACATTGTGCAGTCAGCAAAGGCCAAGGCCAGAATGGGGGAGGGGAAAGAGCCCTGCCTAGAAGCCACGAGACCCAAGTTTGAGGCCTCACTCTGCCAGCCACTGACTGTGACTGTCACTTCGAGTCTGCAGGCCTCAATTTCCCCATCCTTAAAAGTAGGGAGGGGGGCAGCCGGGTGGCACAGTGGATAGAGCATCGGCCTTGAAGTCAGGAGGACCTGAGTTCAAATCCGGCCTCAGACCAAACACTTGACACTTACTAGCTGTGTGACCCTGAGCAAGTCACTTAACCCCAATTGCCTAAAAGAAAAAAAAGTAGGGAGGACTAAGAGATTTCCAAGATACCTTTTAGCTCTGACATCCTGTGTTCTAAGGGCCCTCCCAGCTCTGACATCCTGTGTTCTAAGGGCCCTCCCAGCTCTGACATGCCATGTTCTAAGGGCCCTCCCAGCTCTGACATCCTGTGTTCTAAGGACCCTCCCAGCTCTGACATTCTCTGTTCTAAGGGCCCTCCCAGCTCTGACATTCTGTGTTCTAAGGGCCCTCCCAGCTCTGACAGTCTCTCTTCTAAGAACCCTCCCAGTTCTGACATCCTGTGTTCTAAGGTCCTCCTAACTCTGATATTCTGGGTTCTAAGGACCTTCCCTCTATTACATTCCTCAAAGTTTCTCACCGTCACTACTTCTCTCTTCTCCTTCCCTGTGGCCACAGAAGACATCCCATGTCTTTCATTTAATCCCTCTACCTTCGCCCTTGATCCTCTACCCGCCTCCAGGCTCTCGCCCTAACCATCATCTCCTCCCTCTTGTGCATCCTCAGTCTCTCCCTTGACTACAAACCCAGTCAGGTCTCCACCAACCTAGAAGAAGCCTTCCTTGAGTCTTTTAGGCCAACCAGACCTCCTCACCCCCACCCCCACCCCACCTACCCCCCCACCTTTGCCACTAAAAGGCATTTATACCCCCCCAGTCCCTCCACTTCCTCACTGGTTGAAATTCAGCATCTGCCCTGACCATCATATTCCTCTCTCCAAGGTTACCAAAGACCTTGCAGCCCCCAACTCAGTGGCCTTTCCCCCTCCAGCCTCCTTTTTCCTCATCTTCTGATGCTCCTGACCACCACCCCCTGCCACAGATGCTCTCCACTGCTGGCTTCAGACACCAGGCTCTCCGAGCTGCTCCTCGTCCTCTCCGTGACCCTTTAATGGGGAAGGGGGGGTTTGCCCCAGGGTCTGTCCTGAGCCCGTCCTCCCCCCCATCCATTCTTCATTGTGCTGGCAGAATCATCTTTCTCAGGCCCAGATCCGGTCATGCCGTTCCTTTGCTTAAATTATCTTCAGCGGTTCCAGATCACCTCGAGATGAGTTCAAACTTCTCTGCCTAGCATTCAAGGCCTGGTGCCACTTTTCCTTTCTAGTCTTACCTCATTTTACTCCCCCGGCCAAACTGTAAACCTCTCTTTCCTTCTGAAAGCTCCCACCTCCATTCCTTGACCCACACTGTTTCCTATGCCAGCGATGCCTTCCCTCCTATTCTTTGCTTATGGAATTGCAAACCATTCTCTAAATGATAGCTCCAGGAAGCCTTCCTTGATCTTCCCCAGCTGATAACAATGTTCCCCATCAGACCTCACAAAGCACTGTGTTCATAGCTCTTGAGTGTACTGAGGTCAGTCAGTCAGTCGATAAACATTTTTAAGTGCCTCCTATGTGCCAAGCATTGTGCTAAGCATTTAGCATGTAACACTGTCCATTAGAATCAGCTGTGTTTGGCGGATCCAGTGAGCATGTAAAGCATACATAAGGCACTCGGTGTGCATCCCTTAAAACACCATCAGTATTACCAAGCCTTCTCCTCCTAGCCTAGACAGTGAGCCTCAGGCTGTCTCAGAACCCACCTAGGACCAGGAGTTCCTGCCCCCTTTGCCACACCTCTTCCATCCCTCCTACAGTGGGGGAGCCCAGAACCTACCTCATACCATGGATGAGAGGTAGAAGTCCCAAGTCTATTCTTTCAAGTCCACTGGACCCTGTCATCTGCCCTGCCCCTACCCTGGCACTGCTTAGTTTATTTTTCTATTTACATGCCTAGCACTTACCCTAACAAATGTTTTTTCCTTCACTCATTAATTAACGCTTATTGAATTAAGTCAGCCTCTCCCAGCTCTGGCATTCTAGGACGCTAGCTCCCTGGGCCTTGCACCAGGTCACAGGGAAGTCAGAAAATCCTTATGTACGAAGTTCCCCTAATCCAGCCCACAGTCCCCCTTCCTCCACCCTCCCCCTGTTCCTGCCCATGCACTTACCACCAATCGCAGCCACGGTTCTTCAGCAGAGGCTCTAAATTTTGGGTGATGCTGGCCAGGCCTGCCATGGTACAGAAGAGAACCAACATCAGCGACCCCAGCTGGAGGGGTTGGCCTGAGTGAGAGGACAGGGGCCCCGCCATCCCCATATCTCCAGAGGGCCCCTCCTCTCTACCCTTCTGAAGCTTGTCCTTTGAGGCCCACCTCCTCTTTGAAGCCTCCCCTGGTTGCCCCAGTCCACATAGATCTCTGCACTCTTACACACAGGACCTTCATGGAGCACATGCCCATCCAGTGGTGCAGCTCACCACCAATCCCAGGCTCATGGGACCCAAACTAAAGCCGAGGTAAAGGCAGCGGGAACCTTTGGTGGGAGAGTCACCTTCAGGTTTGTGGATGGTCTGTCTCGACCCCCACCCCCTTCCCCAGGGCCCCAGTCCCATGGTCCCCACAGACCTGGCTCCAGGCCGAACTCCAGGATGTCTTCTCGGACCACCAGCACCAGCATGGCCAGCAGTAGGAAGATGAAGGCGAAAGCGAGGCAGACAGAACGCTCCCCGCCCTCCTCCGAGGAGAAGTACAGCCTCATCACCGTCAGAAACACCTTGCTGGAGCCCCCACAGCTAAGGATGTGCTCAGGCAGCCTGATGGACAGTGGGGCGAGGGGACAGGGGGAGCAGGCCTGGAGCTGGGGGGCGCTGGTAGAGAGATGGGGGACCACCTCCAAGCTGGGATCCTCCTTTCCACTCCACCTGGCCCTCAGGGAGGTATCAGTGCACTCCCCTTGAGAAGCCGGAGGAAAAGCCCTGACAGCAGTCAGGACCTGGGCACAGCTTCTACTGTTTACACCTGTGTGATCAGGCCAAAGTCATGGCCTCTCTGACCTTTCGGTCTCCTCCTCTATAAATTAAAGAATTTGGACTAGATGGCCTCATTCTGTATTCTAAAGGCCCTCCCAGCTCTGACATTCTGTGTTCTAAGGGCCCTCCCAGCTCTGACCTCTTGGGTTCTAAGGGCCCTCCCAGCTCTGACATCTTGGGTTCTAAGGGCTCTCCCAGCTCTGACATCCTCTGTTCTAAGGGCCCTCCCAGCTCTGACATCCTGGCTTCTAAGGGCCCTCCCAGCTCTGACATCCTGGCTTCTAAGGGCCCTCCCAGCTCTGACATCCTGTGTTCTAAGGGCCCTCCCACCTCTGACATCTTGGGTTCTAAGGGCCCTCCCAGCTCTGACATCTTGGGTTCTAAGGGCCCTCCCAGCTCTGACATCCTGTGTTCTAAGGGCCCTCCCAGCTCTGATATCCTGTGTTCTAAGGGCCCTCCCAGCTCTGACATCCTGTGTTCTAAGGGCCCTCCCACCTCTGACATTCTGTGTTCTAAAGGCCTTTCCAGCTCTGACATTCTGTATTCTAGGGGCTCTCCCAGCTCTGACATTCTGTGTTCTAAGGGCCCTCCCAGCTCTGACATCTTGGGTTCTAAGGGCCCTTCCAGCTGTGACATCCTGGGTTCTAAGGGTCCTCCCACCTCTGACATTCTGTATTCTAAATGCCCTTCCAGCTCTGACATTCTGTATTCTAGGGGCCCTCCCAGCTCTGACATTCTGTATTCTAAAGGCCCTCCCAGCTCTGACATTCTGTGCCCTAAGGGCTCTCCCAGCTCTGACATTCTGGGTTCTAAGGGCCCTCCCACCTCTGACATTCTGTATTCTAAAGGCCCTTCCAGCTCTGACATTCTGTATTCTAGGGGCCCTTCCAGCCCTGACATTCTGTGTTCTAGGCGCCCTCCCAGCTCTGACATTCTGTGTTCTAAGGGCCCTCCCAGCTGACATCCTGGGTTCTAAGGGCTCTCCCAGCTCTGACATCCTGTGT